CTTGTTACTAGTCTAATGGAGATGGGGCTTGAGACACTGACCGTGATTTCCTGAAAGGTGGCAGCTGTGGTGGTCTGACTATAAAGGGGGGAAGTGGGTCCTAAGTTCTATTTCTCTAAGGCCTCCTACATTTAACTTCCCACATGAAATCTTTCTGCATGAAATACCTTAGGCTTCTTCTGCTTCTTGTACTGGATCATGACTAATTTGCGCTTCCCCCACCCCCTTCACCATATGCTATATCACTAGGCTCAGATGGAACAAACCAGAAAGACCACACATTTACTCAAAGAAACATCCCCAAAAGAGACTGGGAGTAAAATTCTGTCAGTTGTTTACTCAACAGCTATCCCCTTTTCCTTCTTGGCAGGTCAGCTTACCTTGATCTTGAAGCCAGGGGTTGGGCATGTGGCTTAACTCTGACTGAAGAACCTGAGGGGAGCATGCAGCAGGTTAGGTTCAGGTGTATCCAGTTATCTTTTTGATTAATGGGGATGGGCTACGAGAAATTCTCCTCCCTGGCAATTGACAGGCTTCTGGGAAAACATGAAATTTGGGCACTGGCAGCCATCTTGCACTCACGAGGAAATGAATGAGGAAGAAGTTTAACATACCGAGGATTGCAGAGTAGACCACCTAGGCGTGTGATGGATAACATTGTTGAGCTAGCTTGGTCCAGAGTTCTCCAGTCTTTCCAGCCCCAATATCCCAGGACTTGGGGTGCTGGGGCTCTGGGTGCATTAGGGATTGGGAGAGGTGAATCCCAGGTGAGCTGGGATCAGGGTGAGGTACAAAATATATGAGGGCACCAAAAAATTCAGTACTCAAGATAAATAATATTTTAATGCAATATTAAAAAAATGATGAATGAATGAAAAAATACATAATGAACAAAATATCAAAATTTTAAACTGTACTCCTATGTGCTACAATGTGGATGAACTTTGAAAACATTATGCTAAGTGAAAAAGCTAGATGCAAAAGGTCACAGATTGTATGATTCCATCTACATGAAATACTCAGAATAGGTAACCCCTCAGAGACAAAGGAACAGGGAGAAGGGAGGGATGGGAGCAACTGTTTAACAGGCCTGGGGTTTCCTTTTGGGGTGACGAAATGTTTTGGAATGCAATAGGTGGTGGTTTTGCAATATTGTAAATGTGCCAAGTGTCAAGGAATCATTCACTTTAAATGGTTCATACGATGTGAATTTCACCTTAATTTAAAAAAGAATAAAGATAAAATCAGGGTCCTGGTGTGGCGCTGCAGGATAATGCGCTGGACCACAATGTCATTTCAAACCTCAAGGTCAGTGGTTCAAACCCATCATCCGCTCCCTGGAAACCAGGGTCACTATGGGTTGGAACAACTTAACTGTAACAACCTGGTCTGCTACTCTTGTATCCCCTGCAGAGGGCACTCCCAATCAGTTTCACCTGTGACAGCACATACGCTGGGAGAAGCTGGACTCGGGGGTTTGGAGAACTGGGTTCAAGACTAAGCAATCTCTAGGCATTGGTTTCCCTAGCTGTTCTAGTCTGTGTGGAGACGGGGGCATTTCCAGGATAGCCTCCTGGCCTGTCCTCTTCTTCCCCATGAGCTGCAGAGGTTACTGTTCCTCTTCCTGGGAGGCTGTGTCTCCTTGCTATTAATATCTCGGCCATTCCTGGCTTGAGCAGGGTGCTTAATGACAGCCAGCTGTGGCTCTGGCCCTGTCCCCTGGGAGAGAGAAGACTAGTTCCTGTTCCCACATTAGGAGGGAGGCTGGGTCATTGCTCATTAAAACCCTGCTGAGGGGTGGGAACCGAGGGGCTGACACTGCCTTCTCACCCCTCCCCTGCCCAGCATGCCAGATAGAGGATGCCTGGGGCTAAAGGTCCCCTGTGCACCACCCCCTCCCACACCATGGCTGTCCTGGTCTCAGCCCCGACCTAGGCCCTGCCACTTTAGGTCCTGACTCCAACAGCTTTGGGGCACTCCCCGGACACTGCATTCAGCACATGCAAAACCAGGTCAGCAGCTCCCACCTTCCTCACCTGGATGATGGACAGGCAATGTTCCCAAGCCTGCCTCTGGGGCCCAGCAGCGCAGCCAGGAGCCAGCTCAAACCCACTCACTCCCTCAGCCTCCTGTGTTCCCTATGCTAAGGGATCCTGGCACTGTTCGCCCGGATTCAGTTGCCCTTCACCGTCATGCTCCCTTGGGACCCAGAGACCCCCACCTAGTCCTCAGAGACCACCCCATGCCACCTATCCTGACTGTAGGCAGACTGGCCATTCTCCTGTGACAGCCTGTGTCCCCACGTGGCAGAAATCACCCACACGTGATGGTGGCTCTCAGTGCTAGGGTGGGAGATCTGCTCAAGCGGCGTCTACCGGAGTTAACTGGGTTTTGCCTTCAGGGGCCGGAATCCAGAATGAGTTTCAATCTGAACAAAGGCCAAGGCCTAGCCTGTGGTGAATCAGAGGCAGGCTATAGTGAGGGTCACCGCTGGATCTGAGGCAGGGATCCCAGGGTGCAGTGAGATTTAGGTTTTGGTATGAGGCCCAGGACCTGGGTTTCCTTATCCCCTAGGCTGACCCTGTGCCTCAATTGCCTCTCTCTTGTCTCTCACTCTCAGATGCAACTGAGTAGAGTAGAGACCTGCCCTGTCACATCACCTCCTGACCAGAGGCCTGAAACCGGGTCTTGGGGCACTTAGGCCAACCGTGGTGAGGGCCTAGAAGCACCCACCAGGTGGCAGCAGAGATAAACTGACCTGAACTGACAAGTATCCAGCAAAGTAGGAGAGGGACTCTAGGATGGGGACTGGGGACTAGGAATCCTGCTCAAGGTCACCCCCACTCCATGCTTGTTCCCAGCTTGGAATGCCTACTCACAGCAACTACTGCTCCAGGTTTGTGTTTTGGCTTCACTGGACTTTTCACCTCCTGTCCCTTCCTTGGTTAGAGGGCCCCACCTCTCTTCCCTTTTCTTGCCCATCTCTTGGGTCTCTACATTTCATTTACACTACAACCTCTTGGCTGTAACTCCGCTCCTCTCTGCGGGGGTCTCGGCTTTACCCTGAAGCCATGGCACACTGAAGGTGGATGGGCCAGGGGCAGCTCAGTGTGGGAGCCCTATGCGGCTCCACACAGCTCAGGCAGCCTCTGAGGCATGGTGCTGCCCTGTCCTCTGCATGCACCCTACTTCCAGATTTTCTACTTCCCTTCCCCCAGCCTCACTGCTCATTTCTGGAGAAGGAACCCCTCCAATTTACAGATCTAGTTCCCTGCACAGCATCCATCCTCTATGCATGCCTTCAGCCCCCAGAGTATTTGGGGGTCCCCCTTCATATGCTGGTTTCCTTTCCTAACCTTAGCCAGGAGGGTTGTGGGGAACTCCCTACCCTACACTATTTTGCAGGTGGAGAAACTCAGGTCTCAAGATCATGACCTGCTCATGATCCTAAAGGAAGTCTAAAAAAAGTGATTGAATTGGGTCGGAACTGGCTCAACAATAACAACCGTTGTTTGTGTTCTGGACCTTTCTGAGGTCTATGAGAGTGGACAAGGTCTCTGGAACCAGTTTTGGGGGAAGCACTGAGTAGGGAGGGAGAGAAAGAGAGAGATCAGGAAGGGTGAGTAACCTGTTTAGATGGGTGAGCGGAACAGACACATTGTCTGACTCCTCTTATCTCCCAGGCCTTGGAGTAGCAGGGGCATGAGACCCTCAGGGTCTGGAAGCTCCTGGTGCCTCAAGCCCCACATCCAGCTCTCCACCAGCAGCGCTTCCCTGGAACTTGAGGGCGGTATCTCATTGGAAGTCACCAGACACTATTGACCTGCAAGTAAGGAAGCTGAGAAGGCTGGAGAACTGCTTCCTTCTCTATCCCACAGCTGACATGCACAGGGCAGGACACAGAGTACTTGTGAAGTCAGGTCGAAGGCATTTGCCACTCCTGGATATGCTGGGCAAATGCTCATGCCCGGGGCTGTCACTGCTAGTGGCTTCTAGTCACTCTTCTCCTGAGCGACCACTGAACTGGAGCCTTTGCTGGCTGCTGGGCTGAGTTTGTTATTTAGCGGTGGGTCCTGGGATGGTAGTGGGTAGAACAAGGCCTTGAATGAGTTTGGTGGGTAGATCTGAGCTTTCCCCAGCCCATTCTGGTCTCTTTTTATCAACTTGGCATCTCTGTCCTGTTCCTGTTCCTTGCAAGTTTACAGGAAGCTTGGGCAATGACTCTGGAGTCATCTTCTGCTGCCTGACATTGTCAACTTCCCCCTACTGTTTCTAAGCCCTTTTCTTCCATCTGATCCGCCATCTTGTTTGTTCCTCTCTAAGCCTTTTTCTTAGTCCTACTGTATCTGCTCCCTTGTCTTCAGTGACAACTGTGCTCTACCTACCTCCTCTTGGCTGACCCTGGGCAAAGGTGACAAGCTCTTCTCACACCCCTTCTCTGCTTAACCATTTCTGGGACCGTTATCACCTCACCACGGAAACTGCTTGAGGCAGAGAAATTCACTCCAGCTGAGAGCAGGCCCTGGTGGGAAGGGGCAATGCATCTTCAAAGAGATGTGGGAATGGCAAGGTTTAACCCAAAGGATGGAGACAGCAATGGTGGAATTTCAGGCACTGTGGAGGTGCTGGCGGTGGGTGACCCTTCTGGGCAAGAACTTTCTCCTCTCAGTTCATACCAACATCATTTGAGGATGGTAACTGCCTTCCTCCGATTGATCGATCAGGAGAGACACCAAGGGTCAGTCCGAGTAGACGGATTCCCTACCCTTGAATGGCAGAGAGGGGCTTTAGTGGCAGAAACTGACGACAGGTTTCCATTCCACATCCTGTAGCGTCCAGCTCTTTCTGGCCCTTCCTTAGGCAGGAAAAAAGGCTGCGCTTTCCAAGGAAGTCGGGAGCCTCTGAGCCTAGAGCTGGGACTAGCAGCTCCAGGGCAGACCTCTGCCCTCAGTCACCCTGGGCATGTGGGGGCGAGAAGGCTGCCCTGGGCGCCTAGCTGTTCAGACCAGGGAGACATCGGCCTGGAAGCTGGAAGAGCGGCGCGCATTGGGACTGACACGAGTCAGCATGGAGACCTGCGTGCTGCTTGTGACACCATTGTCGCTTCCGGGATGCTGGTATTCGGAGCCCCAGCCAAGAAGGCCGTCCAGGTGCCAGCGCCGCCACTTCCGTCGCAGCTCAGCCTGCACCTGGAAAAGGGGAGGGTGATTAGGCGAGGCCCTGGAGCCTCTTCCGTTGCTGATTGGGTGGCTCTCGAGTTAGGCCGCTGAGCCAGCCAATCATATCCTCTTATGGGAGTCAAACCTGAGAGACTGGGATACTGCCTTGGGAGTTACAGAATTAGGACCAGGTTGGGGCCAACATCAAATCACCACCTTGGAGTGGGGACAGGGTGGGCATTGGGGCTGGGAAGCTGAAGGTAGGCAGGACCAGAGAATGCAGTCCAGGGAAGGAGAGGGATGCTGCTTAGGGGTGACTGTACCCTCATTCTTCAAATCACCACCACCTTCCAGTTTGCTTGAGCTCATCCAGCTGGCATTCTGTGCCTTGTAACCAGGGCTCCATGGTAACTCAAACTTTGTGCTCACTGGCCTGCCCCTCCCAACCTCTGGGCACACAGCCACTTAACTAAGGGAACCTCAAACTTGGATGTGCACAGGAATTCCCTGGGGGTCGGGTGAGTGGGTTATAAAAGTTCAGATTCTGAGCTTGCAGGGCTGAAGTGGGTCTAGAAATCTGCATTTTTAATACAATTCTAAGTGATGTGGACTGTGAACCATAAGGTTGGTGGTTTGAACCCACCAACCACTCCAAAGTAGAAAGATGACTTTCAGCTCTCACAAAAAATTTTAAGTCTCAGAAACCCTATACACAGTTGCTTTGAGTGGGAACTAACTCGACAACACTAAAAACAACAACAGCAAGTGATGTGGTTGCTAAGAGCTTACGGACCACACATGGAGCAGCAAGGTTTAACTTGGTTTTACTGTGCACATATCCCATCAGCATTTCTGGGGCCTGGGCCAACTGGAGTTCTCAGTTCCCTGACCTCTGAGATCTGGGCGGGGCTTACCTCTCCATTGAGGAAGCAGTAGAGGATGGCCACCACAAAACCCTAGGGCAAAAAGAGAGGTGCGGTAGACAGACCCTAGGAGCTCCCAACCCCCGTGTTCCCTTGGGTCAAGCATACAGTAGGTGTTCAATCAACGATTTTGTAATGAAACGGTTGAAATCCAGTGACAGGAGGCCAATGCCCAGGTTGAGTCCCTTAAAGATCTGAGAAAAATACAGCCTTAAGCTAACAGTTCATACCTGGAAAGACCCCAAGACGAGTTCAAAGACAATTTTCACTTCAGCCTTAAAGTTGTCAGGGAAGAAGGCAAAGATGATGTAGTGGGCCCCAAACAGGGGGATCAGCAGGAGTGTGGACTTGGCTAGCCTCCTAGGAACAGGGAAGGGGCAGTCAGTGGGTATGTGTGTTCACATGTGCAGATATGATTGGCCAGCTGGGGCTGGAGGCCTAGAAGATGAGACAATGACTGTATGAGGGCGGACTATTGGCTCCAGTAAACCTTTTCTCTGCAGTGCCCCTACCCCTATGATCCCTGTTGGCCCTCCAGGTCTGGAAGAAATAAACTTTAATTTTCACTCCTGTGGAGGACAGAGTATAAGTAGATGCCAGTGATGAAGCCTGAGGATGCATGGATTTCAGACTCTGAAGCAGCTAAAGAGGAGATAGTCTCAGATCCTGGTCTCAGTTTTCCCATCTGTAAATTGTATGCTCAAAATGGTGAAATTACCGAAATGAAGGTCCACTGCATTCTCTAGTGCTTTCATTGCTATCAAGTACAGTGGATTCATGAGACACTAGCTTTCTGTTGAGCGTGAGGATGTCTATGAAGGAAGCCTTTCTAACTGGGAGGGTGATAGGCATCCTTCTGGTGCTTGGTCACCAGGGATGACTCAGGGTCCAGTCCTCTGTCTCTGGCTTTGCTGCTGTGTCCACGTCTTCAGGAATCACCACCAACAGTGCACCCTCCCTCACACCAATACACACACTCCCAGCATGCTGTAAAGAGCCAGCTCCTTCTTTACCAGCCTGGGTACCTAGCAGAGCCCAAACTCTTTCTCCCATGGAACAGGGCTCATCTTGGTTCAGGCTTCCCACCCACCTGATCTCACAGCTGGTCCAAGCAGTGTGAGCTCATGGTTCCCTGCTGGGAGAGTCTGGGGCATGGGTGGGATGGGGTGTCCCTGCCTCTATTCCTCCTGCCTTGGCACTATGTCCACAGAGGCTGAGTCCTGGGACTAAGGTCCCACAGTAAGCTGGGGACAGAGGAGCTGGCCTTGCCTTCCTCTGCATCCTGAACATGGTTACTGGTCATATCAAGATCTCAAGCATTACCCACCCCTCCCTGGCTGCAAACCTATTCCACACGCCGAAGGCTGACAGATGGAGGCTTTCTTTAAATTGAAGGCTTATGGGGAGGTGGAAAGTGGGAGCTGACAGCCCCTCCGCAGGGAGCTCCATCTCCTACTCCCCCTTCCCCTTCTGCCTGCTGACAGCTGTTCAGTTTCCATCTCACCCACGCAGACCTGGTGATGACCAGCTCCCTCCACCTCAGCTGCAAGCTCTTTGGGGTGGTTGTACACTAGGGAAAGCAAGGCTCCACAGGTAAAGGAGAGGATGAGTACGTGCTGTCCCTCAGTACAGCAGACCCTAAAGGGCCTTCCTTTCTCACACAAGACGGGAATATCTACCTCCTTCCCTAGCAAGAGAGATTTCTGTCACACTAGGAATGTGAGTCTCATCTGTGACAATCACAGGATTCCAGAATAGAATCCTAAACCCAGCAGCTCGTGACATTCTAGCCAGGAATCTTAGAACCACAGCACCAACTCCCCAAATGAGAAATGAGACCCAAAAGAATGTTTTAGAATCCCAGGACTACAATGCTCTTGTGGGTTTTCCCCAGACCTGTCTTATCTGCATAGCACAATCTCCTGTTCCCATCTGTGGGCAAGCAAACCCCATTCACATGCCCACAGCCACGCTGTCCACATTTCCATGTTTCTTTACCTCTCCCTGCAAGCCTTGTTGCTCCCATGAAAATCCACTGGCTTCTCCAGTCCTCCCAAGTGCAAGGAACAGCCCTCACACTGTTCCAAGCAAGGACTACTGGTCACTCTCACATGGTCACACTACCCCTCCGTTCCCAACCACCCATGGAGAGTGTCAGTTTCCTCATCTGTAAAATGGGGATTTTTTACTGGGAGACTGTGTGGATGAAATGAGATGATATATGGAAACCCCTTAGCCTATGCCTGGCTCCCAGTCTACTGCAGATGTCACTATTTTGATTGAGGAACACGGAGTCCTGAGCCTGGCTGTGTCTTTGATGAGCGGCTCACCAGCCCATGAATCCTTTGTGCACTCATTGCCCTTTCTCAGGGTCAGGTACAGGGCAGGCACTGGTGATACGGTGTGAATGAAACCGTCTCCTGAAACTCCCTGGTCTGGTAGGAGCGGCCTACCTGGGTCACCTAGCCGAGTCAGTCACCCACCGAGATGCAGACATGGGGCTTTGAGGGTAGAGGGTCTGAGAAGGGGACACTTGTGAGCTGACCTAGGCCAGGGCAGGCCGAGATGGGTAAGATCAGGATGGCATTTTGGTAACTTTGAAGGTTTGGGGTAGGAGACCTTAAGGGGATGTGGGATGATTTAAGGACTGGGACTGGGAGTGCTGGGGGGCCGGGGCACTGGGCACACACTCACGAATATGGGCTGCTATCACTCTTTCCGACATCTGGGGGCCGCAGTTTCTGAAGCAGGATTCGGATGATGCAAATGAACAGGATGAAGTTCACCTGATGGGTAAGGCTGTGGTCAGGAGGTCCGAGAAGGGGGGCAGGGAGCATCCTGTGCCCTGGGCTGATGATGGCCTGTTTTTTTCCTCAGGTCCTTTGTGCCCCTCCATTATACCTCCCCAGATCCCACCCTTACATCTCTGCCCTCTGGGCAGCCAGCCAGAAACCTGACTTCTTTTCTCTAAGGACTGTGCCTGTCTCTCATCTATTGTCTCTACTCTTGATGAAGAACTGCTTGGGGAGGGTCTGGATGGGACCCTGAAATGGGCATTGTTGGGAAACGTAGGTTTTTGTTTTGACCTTAGACTCTAATTTACTGTATGACTTGAGGACCTCAGTTTCCCCATCTCAACAAGTAGGAGGAGTTCTTACCAAGATGGAGGCAAGGATGGGGCCCTTTATGATCCACCACAATGGGGAGGTGATGGTGTCCCAGCACCTGGGAAGGGGATGGTGGGGGAGAATGAGAGAGGTTGTCCTTTGCTAGAGCGAGAAATAGCAGAACAGGAGTCTTCCAACTGTGTACAACTCCATCTCAGACCCATTAGAGACCAGAGGCCCTGAGTCTGTTGCTCCGGAGGGCAACCTCCAGCTACAGCCCTCCTCTAGTGAAGCAGGTGCCATATCTGTGCACCAGCATCATCCCCACCAGGGGGGAGGGGAGAGGTGACAGCTTACCCATAATTCTCCACATGGATCTTGACGATGGTCCACACCATGATGAAGATGCTGGGTACCCCTGTCAGGGCCAAAGGAGAGAGAAGGAGAGGAGAACGTCCAGGAGGCAGGGACAGAGGGATTGAGGGATAGATTTAGGACAAAGAGCCAGAGATAAGAAGAGAGAGAGAAAGGGGTTGTTGGTTTCTAGAGCTTCTACCTCTGGCTGGGTAGGTTGTTGGTTGTGCAAAGATGCTCCATTGAGGAGTGAAATTGTTTGGCTGAGGAGCTATGTCCAGCTAAAGGCAGAATTGTTCAAATTTTGACAAAACATTTTATAGACAAGCAGTGGTCCTGGATGTTTCAGGGACTGGACGGGAAATGAAAAGGATGTTTACCAAACCTGTCTGTTTCACAGATCAACCCTAGGTACAGCTTAAGTTTGAGGGCACCTACCTGGGGCTCAGACATTTGGGGACTTTTATCAACCTTTGGCCATGAGCCTTGTAGGCAGGACCTGCAGCCCAGTAAGGCACCAAGTCTGCAGGATGAGTTAGTGGTCTTCCCCGAATAAGCTCTATAAACCCTGCTCCCTCTGTACCCAGCTTGGCAGCCCTCCCTGGTACCATACCCCAGCCGATGAGTATGTACCCCCAGAAGTACTTCCGCTCGGAGAAGAAGGAGATGGCGAGCAGGGTGTGCAGGTAGAATCCCTCCACCAGCAGCCAGAAGAAGTTGGCCATGACACAGTACTGGAATAAGACCACAGCTGCCTTACAGCCCACCTGCAGGAAGAGGACCAAAGAAGGGGCTCACTGGGGCCATCTGGGGTCCAGGCCTGTCCATACCTCTCTTTCTGAGAGGACATCCAGTTTCATCTCTTTGTTGTCCTACATTGTCTCTCTTTAAATGTTTCATGGTTTCCCCAGTACCCCTGATTTTGATCATCTGATGCTTTGGGATAAGCTGATTATTTTAATTATCTACCCATTCATCGTTTTGCGTTCTCATCTATCTATCTATCCATCTACCTATCCAACCATCCCCCACCCACCGCCCACCTATCCATTTATCTACCCACTCACCAGACATCTACCTATTGATCCATCTATTATCCATGCATTCATCCATCATATATTCATCTGCCCATCTGTCCACCCACCTACCTCTCCATTCATCTACTTACTCATCTACTAGACACCTACTTGGAGCCCACCCACCTACCATTCATTCATTTACTCATTTATCCACCCACCCATCAATCCACTCATTCATCTACCCACCTACCCCTGTACCCAATCTGTCCAACCCTCCTTATTTTATCTATCTATTCTTCTACCTATTCAGCCATCCATAAATCCATTTACTCAGTCATCCACCTACCTATCTATCCATTTCACCATCCCTGACCCACCTAGTCACTCATCTTATGCCAATTAGAATGGAAGGTATTTAAAAGGGAGAATGTTTGCTTGAACTTGCAAGAGTCACCTGAAGGTTTGAGACTCTGGAGTGAAGTCAGATGGAAGTGTTGAGGAGAGAAAGGGAGAAGAGAGAAGGGTGACCATTCCTCCCAGGGGCCAGAGTAGTAGAAGAGTAGATAAGGATGAGACAGAGGAGTCAGGATGACCCCTGATTAGGGAATCTAGGGGCTCTGGCTGGGACAACTGGCATAATTGGAAGGTCTTCTTGGACCTTCTGTGCCCTCTCAGAAACAGTCTTCCATTTCAGATCAAACTCAGATGCTTGTGAGCCAGGGTTTAAAGCCAATCTCCTTTGGGAAGCTTCTGGCTTCCACTCCTCCTAGTGCCCTGAACATGGCTTCCCATCCTTCCTTCCAATGTCCTTGACCTTGAGATATCTTCACAGAGCAGCCTGCTCTACCCTATGATTGGAAAGCCCATGCTTGACTGCATGATTGGAAAGTCTTTTCAGATACAGGTGGGTTTTTTGTTGTTTTTGCTTCTGTTCTCCCCCTATTTATAGGAAGAATAGCTCAACTAAGAGACCAGTTATCTGAGCGTTCTCTTTCCCTTAGAAAAGCTTCCCAGAGCTGCTAATGAATCAGAGAGCCAATCTCCAGAATTAGCCTTAACAAAGTGCACTGGAGACTGGAGATTCCTCCTAGGATTTGTGGCTCACAGCCTGCCTGTCTGACTGGGACCCCAGATCCTGGACTGGATCCTCTGAGGAGCTGTGGGAATGGGCAAGGTGGCTCTCCTGGGTTCCCTCTTTTCCTTGTTGAGATGCTTGATGTTCTACCATCATAGGTTCATTCTTTTGGAAGAAGATACTGCTGACTTCTGAAATGATGCACTGCTTCTGAAGTCACTGAGGAAGACCAATGAGTCACTGACCACAAGGAATGGGGGGAGCCAGGGCTGGTGTCTGGTCCTAGCTCAGGTTAGGAGTTGGAATGTGGGGGCACTCTGTGAGGGCGCTTTGAGTTCAGAATCACTCAGAGATAGACTCCTTAGTAACAGTGGGTGAATTCCTGTAACCTCCCTTCCCTAGGAAGGCCCAGATTGAATTGACAGGAGAAGAGGGCAAGGGAAGGGGAGTGGGAGCAGGACGTGTGGCATGCTAAGCAGAGTCCTGGGGATACAAATGGCAGAGGCCAGAGTTGGAAGGAATTTTGGGAGTCTTTGCATATTTGGGGTAACTGAGTCAAGGAGTTCCTTATGGTCTTATGGGAAGTTAGCAACAAAACTATGGGAGTTCTAGCCATAAAGTACCCCACCAGGACAGAAATTAGCATGTGCTAATTGGGCTCTTTGAAGGTTCAGCAGCATCTCCTGCCACTGGGAAGGAAGTAGGATTTGAGGAGCTGCTCTGTGAGAGTTGGCCATCCTTGGGAGGAGAAAGAAGGAAGGAAGGAGGAAAGGGATGAAAGAAGAGGGGAGGAAAGAAGAGTAGGAAAAGGGGGGAGTGGGAGAAGGGGAGAAGAGGAGACAGAGAGAAGACAGAAAGAGAGGGAGAGACAGAGTGGAGATTCAGGTGGAAGGCGGCAAGACAGAGAGATGGGCAGGGCGGGGTGGGGCAGGAGTCCTCACCGAGCCCTCAGAGCAGCGGTCTGACTCCCCGCTGTTGAAGAGTGCCAAGTCTTTGATGAAGACAGCGGTGGCCCTCAGGATGAAGGAAGTGAAGAGGTGCATGTGGATGTAGTTCCGTGTGCAGTGAAGCTTCCTGCGCAGGGTGGGCAAGTCTGGGAGGCTGAAGGGGCCTTGGAACCCCACCTCAATTAATGTTTGGCAGGCTTGGCCTCATGTGGGTCCCACCTCCAAGTACCCCATTCCCATGTGCAGCCCCACCCCGTGGAGCAGGCTCCGCCCCCAGGCACTGGCCTTTTATCTGGGTACCCTACGAGCCACCGGCTGTGATTAGGGGCAGCTGGCCTGGAAGGGGAGCTGAGTCAGGGGCAGTGTGCTGCTTGGCAGGTGGCAGCGGAAGGAGCAGGGCATGTCCAGGGCTCCATTGTGGGCCTCACCTGAACAAGACCAAGATAGCCATGGCGATCAGAAGCGATGCAAGGGACAGACTGTAGCCGATGGTGTAGCCGGTCTTCACAGAACTGTAGAATAGTGTCTGCTGCTGCTGGGGGCAGGAAGATCTTGGGTGGAGGTGGGCTTTCCTAGGGGGTGCTAGTGGGGTGGGGTGTCCTCCTTCAGTCTCCTTAACCATTGTTGTTGTGAGGTGTTAACTCATAGTGACCTTATGCACAACAGAACGGAACACTGCAACATCCTCACAATCTTTATTTAGCTTGAGCCTATTGCTGCTACCAAGGAGCTCTGGTAGCGTAGTGGTTATGAATTGGGCTGCGAACCACAAGGTCAGCAGTTTGAAACTACCAGCTGCTCTGCGGGAGAAAGATGAGGCTTTCTGCTCCCATAAAGATTTACAGTCTCGGAAACCCTGTTCAGGGTCGCTATGAGTCGGAACCAACTCGATGGCACTTAACAACAACAACATTGCTCCTGCCACTGTGTCAATCCATCTTGTTGGGACCCTGCTTATTTTTCACTGACTCTCCAGATTTCATAGACAAGATAGGACTGCTTTCCAGGGTGGGGGTGGGGGCTGAATTCAATTCCCTCTCACTGCTCTTTCCAGAGGGCTATGTCACTGAAGACCTCCAATCTGTCAGTTGTTCATTTGTTTGTGCATTCCTTCTCTAGTCATGTGTTCAGCACCCCTTCTTGCCTTATAGAGCCCTATGGGGGGCCCTCACACTGTGTGGCCAGAGGAGGCACGCTGTTGGATGAATTTTTCCCTGGGGTTCTTAGGGAATGGGGCCAGCAAGATGGAGGCAGTCTGGCCTCTCTAGGGAAGGAAGACAAATTGGCCCCAAAGGGCTTCCTATTTGACCCTTTCTCCCCATGCCCTTTTCAGAGTGACAGCCACCGGGCAAGTCCCCTCCCCACTTCCATGTCCCACTCCTGCTTGATTAGAGGTAAGTTGTTAAGAGAGCTCTAGTGGAATTGGGGCAGTCCTGGTGCGGCATTGCAGGTTACTGCGCTGGACTGCAAGGTCAGTGTGAATGACAAGGTTGGCAGTTCAAGCTCACCAGCCGCCCCTCGGAAATACTATACTGCATCGCTATGGGTCAGAACCAACTGGACAGCACTTAACAACAACAAGTAGGGGAATTGGGAGCTGAGCCTCCAGCAGTCTTCAAAAGCCTCTGAGGAAACTGCCGTGCCCTTAGAAGGACTGGAAGCCCCCACCTGGGAAGGCTGTCTGGGGCAGAGGCAGATGCCATCACAGATAGACAGACAGACACATGCATTGGCACACAAGAGGAGCGAGGGGGCTCATAGCCAAGGACTCCAATTTTACTTCAGCCCCTATCAAACCCTTAACTCTGCTGAACTTGCCCTGGGGGTAAATACCCTGTGTGGGACTGAGGACATCAGGCCTTGTTCCTGTCCATGACCCTGACTGGCTTGTAGTAACTGAGCCTGATTCCATCCAGGATCTGCACCTCAGTTTCCTCTTTGGATGTGACAGGCATGATGGTGTATCTGTCTCAACTGTAGGCAGGATGACCTAACCTGGGATTGCTGCTTCAACTTTTGCTGCTCTGGGGATCCCATCTTACATGCCATCTTCATGAAAGCCCTTTCTGTTACCCTGTTGGAGGTAACCAGAGGATAAGCCCCAGCTACAAAGGCTTGTAGATGGAGGCTTGGCAAGGATAGACACCAGCAACCCTGGCTCCCATACAGATAACAACCACATCCTTTGATGGTGGGTAGGAGAAGGGAACCTAGCAGGCTAGGGTGCTCTGGAGGTGAAGTAAGGGTGTACTGAGTCCCACCTCATACAAACTTGATGCGTTTTCATCGAAGCCACAGGCAGCATGGTAGGGGCCAGGCTCTAGGTGTGTCCAGCCCTCTTCGGTGCAGTTGCGGCTCACGTTGAGGCCTGGGAGAGGGCAGGAGCAAGGAGAATGGAAGGAAGTTGGCACCAAGAGTAGAGCCAGTGATGGGGGTCTGGCCACCTCGGCTTGGCACAGGTCAGAGAACCTGGTCCCCCTGCCGCCAAGCCCTGGTGCTGCCATGCTCCTGCTGCTCTGAGCCAGACACCCAGTATATCACAAGGGAACCTAGGGCCAGGAGGAGCACTGGTACAGATGACAGAGTCAGAGCACATTTCTTGGTTGTGTCCTGCCGCTATCCCGATCCAAACTTGACCCCAGGTGCAATATAAACTCTGACTCTAGTCACAGACCAGAGAATGTCACAGAATGATGCTGAGACCCTTCTTACAGATGGAGACTGGACTCTGGCCTCAGATATCCAGGACCACAGGTTGCCTGGGAGCTGGTGTGACAGATGGGTTTCTTTGCCTTCCTTGGTCAACCTGCCTGGGTCCTGGGTCCTGTGGAAACTTCCACACCCAGTGGGGCTCAGAAGTGATGCTGGAGGGCAACTAATGGTATGGGCTGGGGAGACCATCTGACAAGGACACAGATCTGAAATCCTCACCAGTGGAGTAGCAGGGGTCTCCTGGAAGCATATACAAGGGGAGTCAAGCCACACAACAGTGTAGGAGCTTGGGGTAGAGACAGATCAAGGCTGAGGCTCCAAGGCAGCTGAGCTCTCTGTAGTCTTATAACCAGACTGCAGCTAAGGGACGGGACTGCTCAGGAGGTATGTGAGGTGATGGGTACCCACGAGGCCCCCATTGTCCAGCCCTGGGAGCTGGCCTCTCTCTGAAGGGAGAGGAGGAAATGAATGGACAACAAGGCATTAAAGAGGCACTTTAGTCCAGGAGAAGGCATCCCGGTGACACTGTAGGATAAGCAATGGACTGCTCACCCTATGGTCCAGTCAGCAGTTCAACCCACCAGCTGCTCCGAGGGAGAAAGATGAGGTTTTCTGCTCTTGTAGAGATTTGCAAACTGGGAAACCATGTATATGATCACTATGAGTTGGAACTGACTCCATGGCAGTGGCTTTGGTTTTGTGAGCCCAGGAGAAAGCTGGCTTGCCAGGCTTGTTGGGATGGAAGGGAGGCAAAGGAAGGAAGAGAAGAGGAAAGTGGAGGGAAGAGAGGAAGAGAGGAAGAGGAAAAGGCACAGAAGGAGGAAGGCAGGTATTATTGAGAGGCAGAGAAAGGTAGGGAGAGAGGAGCGGAGGAAGACACAGGAAGGAGATGGGCCCGAACACCCCTGCCCTCTAGGTCCTTCCTCATTGGCATCATCATCACCCTAATCACCATCACCAGTCTTATCCGCTCCATCACAATCACAAGTTTTCAGAGCTTTTTGTGGGTCACTGCTGCACAAAACTTCATGCACGTTATCTTACTTAGTTTCCGCTATCTACCAACTATTCCTCGGAAACCCTGCACTGGGTTGCTATGAGTCGAAACCCACTCGACGGCACTTAACAACAAACCGCCAAAATTGGAATGCACGTCACAGTTGAGAACTGGTGGCCAAGATGTTGGTCACTTGCTCCCAAACCATGCAGAGAGGACAGGGTAGGGTGGGTCTGCTTCCCAGATGCCCCTGGCCCTCATCTTCACTGAAGTGACCTAATGACTTGTTTCAGGTGTTCAGATGCAGGGCCATGGGAAGGGGTCAAGCTGTTCTGTGAGCTCAGAGAGGGTCACTCTCATGCGTATTTAATCGTTTCTAAATTTTGCCGCTGTAAGTACATCAGGTGGTTCCGTTCCTTATTTCCATAGCTCCTCCTGGCCACCCTTTGAAAGAGGTTCTTATCACTCCACTTTATGGATGAGGAACTGAGAGCCAGTCGCAGGGAGAGGGAGGGGCAGCCAGGAAGGAACAGTTCCCTGGTCTGGGTGTCTTTCCACTATGTGGCCTCTGGACAAGGCAGGAAGGGACACTGGGCTGCACTGGTTTCCTTCCTTACCAACCCCTAATCACACTGATGCAAGAGGCTCTCGGTGGAAGAAGTCTTCAGCTGCCTCTGCTCTGCCCACTGGTCTTCCCACCACTGTAACCAAAGTGGCGCCTGGCCCAGAGCTTTCAGTCCACCTTTCACCAAACCACTGACCTTGCCTCATCCCCTGAACTCCAGAACACTCAGCTCACTCTGAGGTCAGACCCACCCTCAGCATCAGGGTCTAGGGTAAGTAGAAAAGCAGGAGCAAGGCCAAAATAACCATCCTTGAAGTCTCTGGCTTTGGGTCCCCATCTCACTAGGGACCCAATGGTCAGGACCAAAGACAAAGTGGACACCTGCTATCTTTCTGAAGTCCCTGAGTTGTGTAAACTGTTAACACACTTGGCTGCTAATTGAAAGATGGAGCTTCAAGTCCACCTAGAGGTATCTTGGATGGAAGACCTCGTAATCTGGCGGGGGGGAAGGCTATCAAAACCCTATAGAGCAGTTTTACCCTGACACACATGGGTGGCTATGAATTGGAGTTGATTCTACATTAACTGGTTTTTGATGTCATGAATTCCAATAAGTTTCTTACATCTTCCTTATCTAGTTTCCCATGGAACACACCTTCTTTCCTTCATGTCTTCAACCCCTGACACCTGGTTTCCTGTTTCTCTGTACCATTTTCAGAGATTAGGAGTACTGAGTATGGTTGTGCAGGTTGTTCACTGCACAAGGACACACATATGATGGATGATAGAGGCTGAGAGCCAGCTCTGGTGAAAGGCTGACTCCACCAGAGGATGGGACACTTTGTTTTCAACAGTTTAGGTTCCCAGTCAACATTTTTATTGTTTTATATGTATTATTTATATATAATTATATTATTATATATTATCAATGACACTGATTATATTCTTCACAATGTGTGAACATTTTCATAATTTCTGTTCTGGCTGTTTCATTTTCATTAATCTAGTTTCTCTGTCCCCTTACATTCTTATCTTTGTTTAAAGAAATTGTTGACCATTTAGTATTATGAAGGAGCTCTGGTAGCGTAGTGGTTACGAATCGGGCTGTGAACCTTAAGGTCAGCAGTTCGAAACTACCAGCTGCTCTGTGGGAGAAAGATGAGGCTTTCTACTCCCGTAAAGATTTACACCCTCAGAAACCCTGTACAGGGCCGCTATGGGTCGGAACCGACTCAACGGCACTTAACAACAAACAACAAGGTGATTTTTAAAGGAGCACAGTACTTATAGGTGATATTATCTTTTGAGAAAATTTGTTATTCAGCTACAAGATGGCCTCTGGGGTTAGTTTCAGTTCAATGTTTAAAGAGTCTCTCAGGGCAATAGTCTTGGGGTGTACTCAAGTCTCAACCAGTCTAATAGGTTTGTTTTATTTTTGCCTTCTCTCTTTTAGCTTTAAATTTTTTTGGTAAATTGAGTGAAAGTTTACAGGGCAGAGCATCAGTTTTATAGTCAGTAAATCATATATTTAGTTCATCTCATTGATTGCAGTATCCTCAATGTCATAGCACTTATCCCATGTCCTCCCTGGGTTTCTTGTTTCTAGTCCTCTTTCTTTCCCAATGCTTGGTTAAATACTGCCCTTTTGATATTGAATGGTTGAGTATTCTATAGTATGCGTGCCTCACTAGTGTTGTTGTTCCTCCTAAAGACCTGTCTAATACTTGGCTGAAAATTGATCCATGGGAGTAAGATCAGTTCCAGACCTGAAGGGTGATGAAGGGCCACAGTCTTGGTGTTTGACCAGCCTCTACCTACCAGGAAACGTGGTTTTTTTTCTCCCACTCGAAAGTGTTGAAGAGCAAAGATGTCAGCTTGTGCCTGATCCAAGCCATGGTATTTCCAATAACCTCATATGCATGCGAAAGCTGGACAGTGAGTTATGGTGTTGGAGGAGAATACTGAAAGTGCATGGGCTGCCAAAAGAACCAACAGATCTGTGTTGGAAGAAGTGCAGCCAGAGTGCTCCTTGGAGGCCAGGATGGCCAGACTTCGTCTCTCATACTTTGGACATATTGCCAGGAGGGACCAGTTGCTGGAGAAGGATATCATGTTTGGTGAGGTGGAGGGTCAGAGAAAAAGAGGAAGGAAGACCCCAAGAGAAATGGATTGGCAAGTGGCAGCTTCAATGGGCTCAAGCGTGGCAACAGTAGTGAGCTTGGCCCAGGATCGGGCAGTGTTTTGTTCTGCTGTGCCTAATGTTGCTATGAGTCAGTACCGACTCAATGGCACCTAACAACAACAAATGTGATTTTGTTCTGTTTTCCTTTTTAGGAATTTGAGGTTCTGGTCCACATTTTTCTCCCATTCTATCAGGGTCCATCTATTATGGATCTGATTGTTGTTGTTTTTAACTGCCATTGAATCGGTTCCAACTCATAGCAACCCTGCATAGAGTTTCCAAGGAGTGACTGGTGGGTTTGAATTGCCTACTTTTCATTAGCTGTCCAGTGCTTATGCTACAGTGCTACACCAGGATTCATCTGCACAAAGGTACCCTATGGGCTTGTTATGTCCTATTACGACTCCAATATCCTAGACACAGTTGGTCCAGAGGAAGCCCAATTTGACCTGAGCAGGTCCCACTGTGGTACAAGCATTTTGGCCTTCTAATACCCCTCTCCTTCCTCAAGGGCCTCTGGCCAGTGGTCACAATGTTAGCCAGATGATAGCTTTCAAATGAAGTTTCCAGCTGCGACATTCCAGTAGGGACAGAAGGAGTAGCCATCAGGGAAGAATGCAATTAGCAGGTGCTTCCAGTGATCTGAGAGAAGCCAGCTGCCAGGCTATGCCAATGGGACCCACCATGAGACTTGCCCAGGTGCTGGCTCCTCTGGAGGAGGGAGGGGCTAGGTGGGCGCCAGCCTGGAATATGGCAAACCTCAAGGAGGGCATTGAAATCACAGCACTGACCACTGGGGGCAAAACTCCCAAGAGATCATTTGTTTTACCTTCCATCCCAACTTTACAAACAGGAAGACTGAAGCCCAGAAAGGGAAGGCCTCTCGGAGTGAGATCCAACAATCTTTGTGATTGTCCTCTGCATCCTTTATGAAAGTCCTGCTCCTCATCAGTGGTCCCCAGTTGTCCTGTTCCTCAGCAATCCTCCCACCCATTCCTGCTCCTCCCTCAATTCTCGGCATCTCGTGCCTGTTTCTCATTCGTCCTTCCTACAAACCTTGCTCTTCCCTGAGTCCTCCCCAACTGTCCTACTCCGAAGTGCTCCCCACCTACCTGCACTCCTCTCGGTCCTCCACACCTGCCTTGTTCCTCCTTCAGTCCTTTCCACCACAACTCCAACTCATCAAACCAAGACCTGACTCTATTTTCTCCCCTCCTGGCTTACTCCCACACCAACTCCATAGGCAAGTCTGCCACTTCTGTCTTCCACTATGTCCTCTAAGTTCAACCATCATCATCTTCTGTCTGCCTTGTGAATGGGGCTTCCTGCTTAAACTCCTAAAATCCTTTCTTCTCACAGAAATCGAAATTATCAGTTAAAATCCTAAATCCAATGGTGTCAATTCCCCTGCTTAAATCTCTAGAGGCTTCTCATTGAACTTGGAAAAAAAACTCAAGTCCTTACCTCTGTCAGGGAGATTCTCCATGGTCTAGCCACTGTCCATCTTATCTCTTCCTCATCTCTCAGCTCCCAACTCTCTCTGCTCCAGTCAAACGAGCCTTGACTTTCTCTCTCTCAGTCCTAGGAGCCCTGGGACCGTGGCTTCTTCTCACTCCCAGAGCTTTAGGTTGCAGCTCAATGTTACTTCCTCAGAAATGTTCATGAATAACCTTACATGGTGCTGGTGGTTGTGTGCGGTCACGTCAGTTATGATTCATAGCAACCCTGTATAGGGTTTCTGAGGCTGTATATATTTGCTTTAAAGTCTTATCTTTCTCACGCTGAGCAGCAGGTAGATTCGAACTGCTGGCCTACAGTTAGCAGTCCAAATTGTAACCCACTATGCCACCATTATTTTTCCTCACAGCTCTTCTTACTACTTAAGATAAAATATGTTTGTTCTCTTGCTAATCCTCTCCCAAACTAGAACGTTAGTTTTGTGACGGCAGATGGGAGTGGGGGGTGTTTATCCTCCATCCCACAATGCTTTGTCTACCACAGTTTCTGCACATTAGTAGGGGCTGGATAAATACCCACTATATTAAAGGACTGATAGGGGCTCTAAGTTAAGTACCACTGAGTTGGTTCTGATTCAGAGCAACCCTGTGTAGGGTTTTCCAGGAGCAGATGGTGGGGTTGAACTGCTGACCTTGTGGTTTGCAGACTAGTGCTTGAACCTACAGTGCCACACCAGAAGTCCAGCCTCCTTAATTCTTCAAGAGCATGAAAGGCTGCTTCCCAAAGAGGCTTCTTCTTGTTTCTGCCTTATGTGCAAACATTCATTTAAGCAGAGCGTGGCAAGGTGTGTAAGCAAAGCTCTGTAACAGTCTCACAGAGACCAAAAGGCCATCAGCTCCAGGCAGTTAATGACCAACCCAAGACAACGGGAACATGGGAGCCATAATTTAATCAAGTGCCTGCCAATCAATCAGTTATCAATTGCTGGGCAAACACTTAGTGAGCCCTTCCCATGCACTTATCTTTACCTGAAGAGCTAATCAAATCCCACAAGTCTTTCAAAGAGCCAACACCATTGCTGCCTCCACCAGGGCACCCTGGTTGCTCCAGTCCTCTTAACTATTATCCTTTGTCTTCCCCACTCACACCACTCTGGCTCCCTCCCTTCAACCCATAGCTCTTACCTCGAGTGGAAGAAAAGAGTATGAAAATGGGAGGGCAGTCCAGGACTACCACCTGGCCTCGAGGGGTGGCTGGCCAGCAGGTGAGGTTGTCCCACATCTTGCTACAGCCTGTGGGGTGAAGGCAGAGGACACATGGGTCAGCATGGCCACCAGGTGCCTACAGCCCAGTGAGCCCACTGGTACTTACTCTATACCTCTTTTTTCTCATGCCAGGCTGGGGGAATTCAGCATCCCCCCAAGGAGCCTCCAGTCTGAGGGGGACGGTACAACCACAGCCCTCACTTGATGGGGAAGGCATGGCTCTAGCTCCATGGTTAGCAGTAAGGAATCGATTTCCCCCCTGGGAATGTTGCAAGCAGTATTGGGGTTTGTTTGTTGCAGTGATTGGGGGTAGCCTCACCTGGTATTTGATTGGTGATTTGACCATTTTAATGGTAGGCATCCTGGGTGGTCTTGCACAAGGATAAATCATCTTATGTTCCACATGACTTTCAAATGAAACACTGGACATTTGTGTAGCTGAAAAACTTCTGTAATGGCCAAAGCCTAGACTCTTACTCCATTTTTACATATAACCCAAACCTCCCAAAACAAAACCTGCTGCTATGGAGTTGATACCAACTCATAGCAACCTCATGTGTTACAGAGTGGAGCTGCTCCAGAGGATTTTCTTGGCTGTAATCTTTGCAGACGCAGATCACCAGACCTTTTTTCCATGGTACAGGCTTAACATACAAGGCGTTTGCCAGGAGTATAATTACTGAGTAAAGGGAGAGAAGATTGTACTTTGTTTTGTTCTAAACCTTACTACACAGAATTGTTCAGTGTTTTCTTAAATCGCATCACCGACAGCAAGACTGCCTGGGATATCTGAGTCATAGGTGCAATAGCCAATATTTCAGTCTACCTTTATAGCTCTCACATTCCCAGGATTTATAGTTATAGCTACAACCTTCAGACTACGTCTTATCTTCTATATTGCATCTGAACATGTACACAGTATTCCATTATAAATCGATTTCCTTTGAAAAAAGATTTTTTTTTAAATGAATATACATATATCCTGAATTTTATTAGTTATAAAAGGAGGTATATGGGGTGGTGGACGTATTGAGATTGAACTAGTTCTTGAGGAATCTTCATAAAACTCACAAAACATCAGTTAAATTGGGTGTGAGTTAAGAGAGCCCCCGTCTTTACTCCTACATCACAGGCTGTCTTCTTGCCCATACAGCTATTAGCCCTGCAGTGTTCTGACTGGACAAGAGTGCACAGTAGGTCTTATGGTCTGCTTTAATGTTGTTGCTAAGTGCCATCGAGTCAGTTCCAACTCCTAGTGACACTGTATGGGGTCTCCAAAGAGCAGCTGGTGAGTTTGTGGTCCACAGTCCAGTGCTGATCCTAGAGTGCCTTGCAAATGAAAATTGCCCAGTTCTTATCAATTCTGGAGCCAGGTACCTCTGAGGTACTAGACCTATTCCAGACTCCCTAACCTGTGAGAGATTTCATTGTCTCTCTACAGTTCTGCCAGTACCATAGGTTTACTCAGAAAATCCAACCCCTGAACCAAAGTCAATGCCAGCCAGCCTGGCCCAGCCCAGCCCAGCCCAGCCCAGGTCCGAAGGTTCCCAGGTTCCCAAGATGTGGGCCCTGGAAGAGGAGGTGGAGAGATGTTCCCACTGGGAAAGGGCCCCAGGACTCTGAGTGGTGGGTGGGCTAGCAGCAGGGAGGGGGTACTTTCGGTGACTTGCAGCAGCCAGGTGGAATCTGGCCTGAAGGCCCAGCCAGATAACGAAGACTCCCTTCCCTCGACATGTCAATCTCTTTCCCCGAGCCTGTCCTCAAAGCTCCTGTGGTCAGTCCCCCATGCTCCACTCCTGTGCCAGCCTCAGTGGAGACCCTTCAGGCCAGTTGAATTTGCTCAGGTTCAAGGCCCTGTTAATAATATCAGCAAACACTTACACAGTTCTGTGTCTAACTGCTTTAAATGAATCACTTATTTAACCGTTTCATTTTTTTATAGATGAGAAATGGAGGCACTGAGAGGTCAGGTGATTTGCCTGAGGTCACACTGCTGGGTAATGCACACCGCCTGTTCACACACCCTTTCCAACAGGCCTTCCCTACTCTTCCTGGTCTGAAGGGCTCTACCGCATCTTTCTGGGAATTGGGTTGCTGCTGCTGGACTTTGTTTACCCCTCTTGGACACAGCAGGGCACACCCTGCTTTGGAAGCCAGCTCCTGTGCCAGTGTCCCCTCAACTTTGGGCTATCTCTGAACCTGCAGCTGCCAGCTGCCAGGGAGTGGATTTGGGGATAAGGACGGATTTCCGGTAATGAGCTCAACTTCATCAGAGTGGGAGCAGAGGAGAGGGAGACCACACTTGGCCTCAGGGACCTCAATGAAACAGGCTGGGCTAGCAGCTGCTGCTGGAGCACCTGGCAGCTACCAGGGAAGAGAGGCCAGTACAGGGGCCCACAGTCAGGGGCGCCCCCTGCAGGAGGCAGGATGCGTCTGCTTTGCTGAGGCAGCAGGAAACCGAGGGGGTGGTGACAGCCAGGGCAGTCCTTCATACCTGTCGGGTGTGTTGTCCTAGGCTGGACCCTGGTAGTATTTCCCATGTGCCTGTCCAGGGAGGCCCCAGAGGACCCATCACACGAGTCACCAGTCCACAGAGATGCAGGGCCCAGGCTGGCTTTGTGTGCCTAATGGGGGGCAGCAGTTTTGACAGGAAAGTCTAACCTGGCTGGAAACTGGGGTAGGGGGGTCTGCTGTATCATTTTATAGACTTGTATGTACAAAGAAATGCACACCCTGATAAGCACTCCCAGACACAAGGAACCTTAACTAACACGTGCACACATTCATACATGTGTATTTACCGGGCATGAAAACCCAGTCAGCAGCAAACATATGCAGAGAGAAACCTTACAACTTACAGACATACAGATAAACATGACTGGGCATACCATAGACAGACACAGATATTCCCACCTACACACACACACACACACACACACACACACACACACACACACACACACACATATATATATACATATACATGCACAAACTCACACACAGAGACACAGCTCACCAAGCAGACACGGTGAGGCCACATCCAGGCTTAAACAGACACGTATCCACCCCCGCTTCCCACCCACCCCTGCCCCAAAAACACCTGGAGTCAGACACAGAACTGCAGCCCCAGTCCCAGACAGACAGAGACTAGGAGCACACACCTGGCTGTACATGAACACACACAAGGTCATGGGCAGACTCATAACCCACAGACCTGCCCGCCTCTGGATCCCAGGTTGGCTGCCTGGTGACAGGGTGTTGGCAGTCAACGGGCACCCTGTGCCAGTAATGACCTCACCAGGATGCTGAGGGTGGCCTGCTCTTTGGGTCTGGGAGGTGTGCAATGGGGTCTGAGCCTCTCTGGGCTGCCTAGGATCCCACTATCTGTTGGGGCCTGCCTGCAGCCTGGTCCTGCCTCCCTATTCTTGTGGAGTGGGGGTGGGTGTATAGGCCACGGGTTGTGCAGTAACCCCTTGACCTAGGCCTCAGTCTCAGGGACCCTGGAGCCTGGGGACCAACCTTCCTTGAGACTTGGGGAAGTGAAGTCTGTTTAAGACTGCACACATACACTAAAGGTGCACAAGGCAGAGATGGGGCACCCAGGGACAAAAAGGAGGGACAGGGAGAGGCTACATAAATGTCAGTCTCTGAGGTGGTGGGGAGGGAGGCAGGCGGGCGGGGAAGACACAAAATCGCTCCAGGGAGAATGAGGCTGTTACACAACTTGAGCTTGGAGCCTGGGGAGAGGACCTGGGAGGGAGGCTCAGAGCCAACACAGCCACTTCCCATCCTGTAGTCTGATGTGCCAGTCCCACCCCTTCCCCTTGGTGAGCTCTGAACTTGACATCCCTCCCCACCCCCCACATGCCTCCACTTTCCCAGTCTCTCTGCCTCTCCAAACCCTGCCCACCCTTCCACGTCTGCTCTAATGCCACAAATGCCCAGTCCTTTGTGATTCCTCCTGTTTTTAGCCCAGGGTTGTTGAGCAAGGTGCTGGCCACATAGCGTGAGGCAGAGGGAGTGGAGAGTGGCTGTTATCTGGCCTGATGACCCCATCAGGTCCCAGTGCTAAGCAAATTCCACCTCAAAGTAGCCCATGCACACCCTTGGTATTGTCAAGTGGGAGCTCTCCCAGACTTCCGGAGACTTCCATAGTGGTCGGACTCTGGATCTGACCTTGGCTTCCCTAATTAGCCGGATAAGGAGCAGATGGCTCATCTAGCCTTCCAAAGGTGGGTTGGCATGGAGGCTGCATGTGCATGTGTGTGTTTGGTGTTGCTACCAGTTCTCCTGTGTCATAGTAGTTTGTAGGGTCTTGTGTTGGGATGAAGGTGTAGGCCTCAGTTTCCCCACAGGGATGAGTATTCCAGACCTGTGCAGATTCTCTTGGTGCCCCTTCTCTCTCTCTAGATGGCCAGAGCTTCTGTGTGGTCTTTGTGGGGTCACATGCTGTTACCAAGTAGTCCCTGCTTTCCTTCTGAGATCCTAACACAGTAAAATAGTCTAATTCCAGAACATGATGGCCTAAGACCAGATCTCACCTCAGCTCAGGCTAAGCTCAGGGGCTGAGAAACCCGAGCCTGGGGCGTTCCCACCAGTGAGCAGCTACAACTCTTCTTTGAACTGCCTTCATTGTCCATAGGACCCCCACTATGCAGCACCATGTGCCTTCCCACCCTGAGTGGGCTGGTAGCCAGGGACATCCTCTCCACTTCTGGACAAGATGGGTAGGGATCCCCAAAGACAGAGTTGGTTTCAGTCACTTTTCAGAAGCTCAATTTAGTATACTTCCTTCAGCTGATGGGGAGCTCTCCAGACCTGGGATAGGTGATGGAATATGGAACCTATTCACCCTTTCCTTGTTCCATCTGGCTTTCTCAATTCCTCCCAGCATCCTTTCCTCATCACCCAGGTACTCCCCTCACTATGGTCCCCATCCAACAAATGTGGGATGAAAGTGACGTGGATCTGGTCACATGATGTGAGAAACAATGGAGCTGTTGGGGCTCAGGCTGGGGTCATCACCT